GTAGCAGTTGGAATATTAGAGTACCACTTCTTGGGAGAAGGGAGGAAGATCCATTTTCATGCATGCAGCACAAAAGTTTCGGATTCATACAATATTTTTCATTTGATTGGAGTTAAGACAGTTGGAATATTAGAGTACCACTTCTTGGGAGAAGGGAGGAAGATCCATTTTCATGCATGCAGCACAAAAGTTTCGGATTCATACAATATTTTTCATTTGATTGGAGTTAAGATGCGTCCAAGGTGAAGACGTGGCTATATGTGCCATTCTGCCAAGATACATCCAATAATTGGTCACTAATTAAATTGGCATCTCACATGCGGATTCAGATTTTCACCACTACAAAAAATTAGCGGAGAGACCACTGCATCAATTTCAGTCACTTATTATTTAGCAGATGTTTGTGATTATTCTTCCATGAGTACAAAATGAGAATGGGTTCAATTCATATATGGGGCATGGTAAGTTCTAAATTTGGAATGAATCATAATCATCCATTAACACAATCAATAGTTATGATTAAAAGTAGTTATCTCTCCACAATTTTTCTACAGTGAAAAGGATCCAAATCCATCTTGTGCTACCACTGTTTTTTAATTAACCCATAAAACTAGTAAAAATGGGCATGAGCTAATAGATAAATACCATAAATAGGCAATTTTAGAAGTGGATTGTTAATGATGACCACTACTTTTAATCTCAAGCGTTGATTATTTAGTAGGCGGTTATGATACAATCTAAATCTAACACTTATCATACTCCCGTGTATTGCACTCATTCCTAATTTGCACTAAAAAAAAAATCATAACCATCAACTAGATAATCAATGGCTGTGATTATGTAGTGGTCCCTCCACTATTTTTTTTGTAGTGGAGAGAATCCGAATCCATTTTATTAGGATTTGGATCCTCTCCACTACAAAAAATAGTGGAGAGACCACTACTTTTAATCTCAAGCGTTGATTATTTAGTAGGCGGTTATGATACAATCTAAATCTAACACTTACCATACTCCCGTGTATTGCACTCATTCCTAATTTGCACTAAAAGAAAAAATCATAACCATCAACTAGATAATCAATGGCTGTGATTATGTAGTGGTCCCTCCACTATTTTTTTTGTAGTGGAGAGGATCCGAATCCATTTTATTAACGTTAACATCTGATGAACAAATCTCATATTTCTCATTATTAGGTGTATAATATTTTAACAATTGCTACTCGATCGCATGCGATTTTAAACGCAGTACCACATATATGTATAAGGTTGCATATTGTTTTTCTAATAATAAGTTGCTAGATCCAAGAATTACTAAACCCCCAAGAACTTTCAACGCGCTTTGCTGTTATTGGGAGTTTAGTGGTTTTTTACTCCCTCTAAAACGTTGGACTCATTGACTCCAATTATTCTTTCCAAATGAGTTTTAACAATATCTGGACAAAAAAAACTATCTTTAGATTTTTGTTTGACTTAAAATGTTGGAACAGCGAGCCTATATGGAAGTGTGCTCGCATACCGAACGAATATATGATCACGGGAGAGAAGAACCAACCGCACATGAACACAATTCGAACCAAATACAACAAATCAAACCAAACACAGAGATATATGTGGTTCGGCAATTTGCCTACGTCCACGGAGAGAGGATGGGGAGATTCCATTAAATCAAGGAGAATACAAAAGGTTACAATCTCACAAAATCACTCACACTAACCCTAATCCAAATCTCTCAACTCGCTTACAAATTCTCCCTCTCAATATGCTCAGTACAATCTAAAATCTCTGTTAAGAAACCCTAGAAAATCGTGTTTTAATTTATATCAAAACACAAACCCAATGCGAACAGGAAACTAAACTCAGGCCTAGCCCAACTCGCGGTCAACCGCAGAGACACGTGCGGTCTACTAGACAGGACGACAGAGACTGAAAAACATTACAGGGTTTGGCCGGTCGACCGCCGCGCCAATCGCGGCCGACCGCGAAAAGTCCAGAGACTTTTCCAGCTTGCGTGCACGTTTGCAGTCGACCGCCGCGCCACTCGCGGTCGACCGCTGGAAGTCCAAACCGGTTTTCTGCCGTTTTTCATGTATTCTCTACAATTCTTAACATCGGTGAAGTTTTCCCAAAACTGAGCTGACACCAAACGAAGAGCACCAAAATCAGCTGCACCAAAATCGGTTGCACCAATATGGTTGCCTACGTACCCCCTCTTCCAAGGGATCAAGCCGTCCGTAGTTTATCCAAATGGCCGTCAACGGCCTCAACAATCATGAATGTGTAACAAGTTTCGACAATGATCAAACTTGTTGCTCAGAACCACCTTAGTGAGCATATCCGTCGGATTATCCTTCGTGTGGATGTTCACAATCTCCACATCACCATCTTCAAGAACATCTAGAATGAAGTAATAACGAACGTCAATGTGCTTCGTCCTCGCATGAAAACCTAATTCTTCACCAAATAGATAGCACTCATGCTATCATAATGAATAGTAACGGACCATTGAGATATACCAAGTTCCTCTAAAAGCCCTCAAAGCCAAATAACCTCCTTCACAATCTCCGTAATCGCCATATACTCTGCCTCCGTCATCGATAAAGCCACCGTAGACTGTAAGGTGCATCTCAAACACACCGACGCATGGGTCAAAGTGAACACATACCCTGTAGTAGACCGGCATTTATCCAAATCCCCGGCATAATCCGAATCAACATAGCTAATGCACAACTGCCCACCTGTAGTGTCTCGCTCGAATACCAAACCAATATTGAGCGTACCTCGAATGTACCTCAAAATCCATCTCACGGCGTCCCAATGACACACTCCTAGTTCGTGCATGTATCTCGAAACCATACTCACCACCTGTGACAAATCTAACCTCGTACATATCATCGCGTACATCAAGCTTCCAACCGCGCTTGCATATTGAGTCTTCGACATCAGCTCTAGACCTTCAACTGTCTTTGGTGAGAGGTCAGCTGAAAGCTTCAAATAGACTTCCAAAAGTACACTAACTGGCTTCGTATCTATGCTAACATAAAATCGTTGTAGAACCTTCTTCAAATAAGTCATCTATGTCAAATAAATTCTATCTTTCTCTTTGTCTCTGCAGATCTCCATCCCTGAAATATGCTTAGCCTCACCCAAATCCTTCATCTCAAACTCCTTTGAAAGTTGTACTTTCATCTCATCTATAGAAGACTTGGAAATAGAGGCAACCAACATGTCATCAACATAAATTAACAAATAGATATACGCACAACCTCCCAACTTGTGAAAATACACGCAAGGATCCGAAAGTACCCTAGAGGGGGTGAATAGGGTTATTGCAAATCTTATTAGATATTAATGCCGATTAAAAGTTATTAACAAATTATTCTTGTAAGATAGATATACAATGTGATATGAGCAAGAATAAGCAATATAAACAATAAGCAAAGGCGAATAAAATAGACTAAGCACTAGACACAAATGATACGCCAATGCAAACTCTAACACACAAGGATGATCACGATAGACTAAGCACTAGACACAAATGATACGCCAATGCAAACTCTAACACACAAGGATGATCACGGAGTTCGGACCTTCCGTCCACGCCAATGCAAACTCTAACACACAAGGATGATCACGGAGTTCGGACCTTCCGTCCTACGTCTCTGCTCCCCGCTCCCGAGGAAAAATCCACTATCACAACCAGGTTTTTTACGCTCACTCGAACAACGTTTACACCTCACAATTCGGTTTTATAGTTCACCGAAAACTTTACAACACACACAATTGCAATCACACTCTACGCCCTCTAAGTGTTGGTCTCTAGTCTGTGTTTCCCTCAAGTGCTTGGAATTACGACCTATCTCTAGACATTACTACATATGTCACTCCTCTTGGGACAACTCCGTCTCTCACCACACACTCCTCTCGGTGTACAAGTTTGATATAACGTGTAACTCACATTTAAATACAATATAAATAAATTATTCTCTACAATAGGTGAGAACACAATTTAAGCTCATTCTCAACGTTACACTCGCCATAACCCCAAATTATACAATATGTGAAAATAGTTAAGCTCAATGGTTGTGTGTGGAAGCAATGAGAAAAATCAAATATAAACTCAATTAAATCTAGCAAATATGAATATAACAATTGAAGCATAAACAAGCTAGAGATATGAGTTTAGAAACACTTCTCTAATCACAAGAGAGAGGGATAGAAAGATTGAAACCTCAAACTAAAATTGATCTCCTATTCTTGTAAAACAATCTTCACAAAACTAATTTTTTAAACAAACACTTAAAACAAACTAAAACTCTTTTTAAACTTTTTTTAAAATTTTTCTTATTAGTTCAAAAGTGAAATGGTATAGGCTATATATAGGATGAAGAAACAAAGATAAAAACCCAAGTGAAATCCAGCAAAATGACAAAAAATAGAAACTAGAAAAATAGCTGTTATAGGCCATCAATCGACTGATGAGTTTCATCAGTCGACTGATGAGCTGACCATTGTAAGTATTTTTGAGCTCATCAGTCGACTGACGACCTTTATCAGCTGATTGATAGATCATCAGTCGACTGGTCAGTCGACCAAAACGAAATAGAAAATTTTGACAACTACAGGCACTTTCATCAGTCGACTGATCGGTCGACTGACTTCATCAGTCAACTGATAACAAGTATACAGCCTGTTTAAAGCAGAAACCTGATTTTCAAACTATCTTTAAAAATAGTAAACAAATTCTAAAAATTATAAAACTTTAGGAAATGTTTGTAGACATGATAATACACATGCTACAAAAACTGGTTTACAAAAAGCATCTGCCAAATGTGAAATCTCATCATTTTGCAAAATCACGTAAGTATGAACATGTTAAAAACTTGATTTTGCCAAAATCACTACAACAAACCTGTTTTTTTATAGCGTTGAATGATAGCGTTTATGTTGTAAGTGCTATAGATCATATGTGTCTTATTTTTTGATAGCGTTTCAAAAATTTTAAACGCTATAAGTACTTGATCCCAATTTTTTTGTTCTGATGCGTTGAAAACTTAAGCGGGAGACTAAAAATTAAAACAGGCGCTTTTAGCTAAACAGGGCTGTAATATATTTAACTCGTTCGAGAAGAAACCACCGGCGAATTGTGTTTCTCTCTCCTCTCTTTCTTCCTCGGTGATAGATCGTTGGAAAATTCTCTTTCACCAGGGTTTTGATCGGAGGCCGGATGATGCTCTCGTTGCAGAGCGATGGTC